CTATCTGTGTTGCTATATGCTAACCAGAATAATACCAACACAAAAGGGTGCACGTCGTCGCCACCTACTGTACCGGAGTGGAATGAACTTCATTTCAGAGATGGGTTTTCTAACGTACAAATAAACTAGGGTAAAAACTGTAGTTTATTATATTACATCAACCTAGATCGACTTAGATGTGTACTGAGTGGACCTCACCTTTACAATATATCAAGTTCTGGACCTGCCTTGCTTCTTCAAGAACTGTATGTTTAGCCCCAGATTCTGAAGTCTAAAAAAAATCCTTAAACATAAAACTTTGACATCAGTGTTGGGGTTCAACCCTGTCTTTAGAAAAAGGAAATAATCTTTGACCTTTACATCCCTTTGATATGGATCTGAAACAATTTTGACCAGGATGACTGAGCCTCAGATTCATTTTAAAAACAGGAGCCGCCATCTAATGAGAAAAAACCTGAATTCCCACTAAACATGTCACAATCCCCGCTACCCCGCACCACCAGTTTCATGCTGAGAGAAATCCGATCTATCATAATTACATGGATGTCTGCCTTTATTGATCACGTGTTAGTCAGGCAAGACTGACACTGTACAGCAGAATTAAAATAGATGTGTGAGAAGCGGACATGAGCTTAGGGACTTCCACTTCACTTTGGCTGAGCGGTTCATGTATCTACAAGCCTTTAAGTGTCATTTTGATAAATCCCTTCCCGCCTCTCGTGCACATACATCTTGATTCATTGATACTTGTGACCATTCAGACCAAAGGACTTTGTGATTACAAAACTGGTACAAATATGCATGAGGTGTTTAAAAATGATAAATCAGTCGTAGCAATATTTGACATAATAAAGAGCTAATTCCACCAGCATGTATGAGCGCTTGTCTTGTTAATCTGCAACAAACTCTGGATTGAAGCCTGGAAAACTGTTGTGGTTCTGACAATGGTTAAATAAGACCGATGTTGGGAGCAACAACACTGTTTCAGATCAGATAATACAAATACTCTGAAGTAGGGATAAACCATAAAACCAGGACAAAGTATTGCATTTTTTTTATTTTATATTCATCTTTAGTAGAGTTAATTTAAAGTCAGGCACATTAGTGGGCAGCCTGGTGCTTTTGTAGTATTTTATTTAAATATATTTTTTTTATCCTGCTTAATAAATGCATAAAAACATTGCTGAAAATTTTATTATAAACTTATATTTATTCAGTTTTTTTATTTGTTTGATTAATTTTGGTTAAATGTTTGATTTTAACGTTAAAGTCGTCACACTGGTGACATTTTTTTCTGCATTTGACCCATCCCTTTGGGTTGAGAACTGTTTGGTGGTCCCCCCAACCCAACCCCTTAACTCATTCGCTGCCAGCCATTTCCTGATCGGTAAAGCCCTTCGCTGCCAGCGTTTCGCACCGTTTTTACTGTTTTTTTAAGAGTCAAAGAACGTTGTGCGCGCTAGGATGATGTCGACGCAAAACAACAAGAAGAAGAAAATATATTTTCTATAGCGTCTCTCAAGATAAAAATCACGAGGCGCTTCACAAAAACAAAAAATGTAAAAATGTAAAAAAAGAATTTAGAAAAGGATTAAAAATATTTTTAAAATGAGCAAAAAATAGACAATTGTGATTAAAAATGTAAAGAAAGAGAGAGAGTGAATAGGAAAGAGGGAAATCAGTGGATCCTGAGGAAGGTGGAATAGGTAGAGAGAGCAGAATAAGGAGAGGGTGATGAAGATCACACCAAAGCCAGCCTGAACAAGGGAGTCTTCAGCTGCATTTTAAAGGAGACCACTGAGTCCACTGATCTCAGGCTCAGGGGGAGAGAGTTCCAGAGTCTGGGGGCCAAAGCAGCAAATGATCTGTCACCTTTGGTCTTTAGCCTGGTGCTGCACAACCAGTAGGCTTTGGTCACTGGACCTCAGGGACCTGCTGGGGGTGTAGGGACTAAGAAGATCACCAATGTAAGAGGGTGCTTGTCCATGTAAGGCCCTATAGACCAGAACCAGGATCTTGAAATGAACCCTGAAGTTGACTGGCAGCCACTGAAGCTGGAGGAGAAGCGGGGTGATGTGGGTGTGTTTGGAGGGCTTGGTCAGAAGCCGAGCACAGGCATTCTGAACCACCTGCAGACGGTTCAGGGAGGTTCTGCTCAGACACGTGAAAAGAGAGTTACAGTAGTCTACGCGTGAGGAGATGAAGGTGTGGAGAACAGTCTCAAGTTCAGAGCAGGACAGAATGGGACTCAGCTTAGCAATGTTCCTGAGATGGAAGAAGGAAGAGTGAACAAGAGAACTGACATGAGAATCCAAAACAAAGCGGAGACTCACCTCTTACATCAGGAAGAATCCGTGCATTTTGAGCTTTATCCATTCTTTTATAATCAGTAGTTGAATTGTGTTCGGCAGAAGGTTTTCCGGTTCGCGCCTCACTTTATTTTACAGCAGCGGCCCAAAACGATCTCCTAACACATGGATTTTCTGCTTCCTGATCTTGTGACGTGTGACGTATGTGGATGAAGATCGGCTTTAAAGCTGAGATGTTTGTTCTCACAGTGCGGGGGCTCATTCCAATGCCCACACAGTAAAAACATGCAATTGGCAGTGAACGGTTGGATTTAAAATGACGACTTTAGTCGTCAATGGCAGTGAACGAGTTAATGTTGAGTGTCAAGGCGTTGGGTCCTGTTTTTAAAGTCTTTGGTATGACCCGACTCTCGACCGTGAATTTGAAGCCACAACTTCCCGTTCTCATGGCAGACACTCATTCCACTAAGCCACTGACCTGGTTTACCTGTTTCATTGGGTTACAATTCTTGAAGGAACTTCATTTAACAGTGTTCAGTTCACCAAATTAATATTAAAAGTTGGTTCAGAAATGTTTGTGACATTTTAGCATGCAGACACAGTGAAAAACTTTTAGATATCAGCTGTAAAAACGAGCCCAAAAATCGGTAGCTGTCTATGACTACATATCAACACCGGCATTGACAATAGATAAATCCATATCGGTCCATCTCTACTGAATAAACTTGGCAAAGACAATTTTGGGCATTTTTAGAAGGCGTTCACAATTTAAAAACCCAATTTTTTTATTGGGATAAATCTTCACCGTAAATCAAAAAATTCTTGGCCACAAGGTGGCGATAATGTTCACAGTTACAAAACATCAAAGTACAAGAAAAGGAAACGGTAAGGGAAGTGGTTCGGAGTCATGCTTCTCCGTCAGCTCCAAAAGGGAGAGACACGCACGGACGGAGACATTTTGCCCTCATACTTCATCTCCTGGGGAGTGTTGCAAAGCAATTCCACGCCAGGACAGCAGAGGGCGTAGTGCTGTTCTGTGGTATCCTGTCATGTATCCGGTCCAAGATAGTGTGTTTATATTGTGCTTCTTTGTATATACGAGACTTTTTAACCCAGACAAATTTGTCTCTCATTCTCCTCCACCTTTTCATGCGCTCACCACCCCTAAACCCACGTTTCCTGTCATTTCCGTCCACAAATAAAACGTTTGCTGCGTATCTTTTCACTCCTCCAGTAACAAGAGAAATTAAACGTTCATGTTTTTAGAGTTTTTTCGCAAGGTATTCTTCAAGCTTCTCTGTGTCTGCCGCTAGATATCCTCGGCTCTCTTTATGTTTTTGAGGGCGCAATGGCGGCGGTGTAGATGATAGCGGTGCCCTGACCAATCACAAGCTTGCGTTCTCTGTCTCGATGGACGGATGTTAGAAAAGAGAGCTTGACTCCGTCCGTCCTTGCGGGGGCTCTCCAGCAGGCCTGCAAGGACGGATAATGGCATTGCGTGTCTGCGCACTGACGCAGATGCAGAAGTATTACCGCCGGGGACACACCGGCTGCGGAAGCACCGCGAAGCGCTGAGAAGCGAATCGCTCACGAAATTCGGCCGCTGCTCGCCGCTCCTCAGTTCAGATCAGACGCGCCCCAGTCGAGGCGCGCCTCGGCTCAGCTGTAGTTTTTCTTTTAAACACTTGGTGTCCTCCATTTACTCTCTGCCTTTTCTCAGCTCTTTTCCTCTACGTTTGAGTGTGTGTGTGTGTGTGTGTGTGTGTGTGTGTGTGTGTGTGTGTGTGTGTGTGTGTGTGTGTGTGTGTGTGTGTGTGTGTGTGTGTGTGTGTGTGTGTGTGTGTGTGTGTGAGTGAGTGAGTGAGTGAGTAAGTGAGTGAGTGAGTGAGTGAGTGAGTGAGTGAGTGAGTACCTATGAACCAGTTGTTTCTGCCGGTTGAATCTCTTGGAACCCGCTCCAATTCTGCAGCTGTATCCTAGCAGTTTCTTCCGAAATGGGTACGTAAATAACCATGTTTTATTCTTCATCAAAGCTTGTCGTTTGTACAATAAAAATGATCTTCCTGTTTCCCAGTGCCATTAAGCCGGGGGAGAGTCGTTGCCCTGCATCTCTTGTTGCGCATGTATCGCCAAAGAAGAAATAGAAGACTGTGGGTCCACCCAATAAACAAAAAAAGAAGAACACATGGAGTATTTCATCATCTTGTGGCGGAATTGTCTCTGGACAGTGATCGCCACATGAAATACTTCAGGATGTCTGCAGATCAGATGGATCACATTCTGTCCTTGATAGGACCAGATCTCACCAAACAAAACACTAATTTCAGGGAATCAATCGAGCCAAAACAACGACTTGCTGTAACACTGAGGTAAAGTAAAAAATTCATAATCACTGCCAGTCTATAATCTAACCCTTTCTGACTATTTCTTTTTGTCCTGTGATGATCATTTTGCTATCTAAATTTAATTTTTTTAATAGCTACATACTGTCACAAATCAAATCTTTCATTTTCATAATGGATATGTGTATTTATGAGAAAGTCTTCAAGAAATTATTCAAATGTTCAAGTAAATACAGAAATGTGAAATTCTTATTATTGTGACAATTTTTAATTTGTACTTTTAATAGTTTTATCTAAAAACAACCTGTAAGTGACATGAGATGTGAAGCAGAAAGGAATTTTTCAAACCTGATGTTTATGTTTTATTTTTTTTTAAATAGCAAACTGTCAAACATTTAGTAAACCAAAGGAAACATGCATTTATAAACATAGTATTGTTCTCCTTGAAAAGTTAAAATAAAATCTCCACAACAAATTACAGTCAAATTTCTTAAAAATCAAAGCTCAATTTTTTTATCCACAGTGTGGTGCACTTATTGGAACTTTTACAAGTAACTAAGATAACAATAAAAATATAAAAGGTCAAGGCTTTCAAAATCACTTACATATTTAGAGTTGTTCCAGTATTTTCAATGTTTTAATAATATAGAATAACAAAAAAAACCTGTAAAACACACACAAACAAATAAAATGTAGGACTTTGGAGTAATTTTTATGGAAAACTCAACTACTCAAGTGTTGTAAATGGTGTGGGTGAGGATCGGCCCATCGAAGTGGGCCTTTTCACACCCCTTTGTTGTGAAGGACTTTGCAATGGTGTGTATTGCTGAGCCTGCTGAGCTAGTGTTGGCGGGGGTTGGGTTGGTTCACCATATGTTGATGGGGAAGGCTGCTGTGACTGATAGTAATAACCTGAAGAACTTCTGTGGTGTGTTGCTAGGTCCCAAGGAGAAGAGATTGAAGTGATAGGTTGGTTTATCTCCTGCAATTGTCTTTCTACATTTTGCATGCATTGTTCTATCTGCATTCTGGCAAATGTTTTAAATTTGCGGGGCATTACATTAAACCTTGGAACAAGGCTGAGGGCGTAATAATACATCTCATCTTTTTCTTCAGGGACATGTGGAGAGACTGTTGTGACATCTTTTGTTAAATAGTGAAGCAGTTGTTCAGTAAGACCTGGACTTGTTGCTTTTTTTTTTTTGGAATGTTTTCTTCCTTGGATTTCAGTGGCAGTTCCTTTAGATAATGCCTGGACTCTGGGGTGTGATGGGGGAAAGGCATGTGTTGAAGGCCCTGCCTCTGCTTGATATGTTAATGGACATGCAGATCTCTGTGGGGGAGTACCAGTCGGAGTCGCAGGTCTGGAAAATTGTGAAGATGGTGCCGTGTCGTCACAGCTTAGTTCTGCTGCAGGTCCTTCACTGTCATCCACTGAAGGCAACTTATTTTTGGAACTATGAAGGAATATACAAACGTAATGTTATGAGAGGATAGAAGTAACATAGAAATGCATAAAAAATTCTAATTTTGAGCTTTAAAGTAAACATTGCCATGCATTATAACAAATACACTGTTTTTTTTTAATCTAACCTTCTGGGTTGCATATGTGAGAGCAGAAAAGACATGGAACTGCTGTATTTCAATTCTTTCTGACTTCCACCTGAAGATCCACTCGGGGCAGTTTTGTTTTTGTGTTTTACAAAACTGTCCCATAATTGCTTCCATCTCTTCTTGCACTCTTCCACTATGAAGCAGTAAAACAAACAAAAACATAAATAACTGGAGAACAAAAACTAAATACCTTGCTTCACATTAGCTATACTGTTATAAACAAATTGCATTTAGGAAAATTTTTGAATTTTATACTTTTTAATAACTGTAAAGGTTTTGGATATATCGGGGCGACGGTGGCACAGGAGTTAAGTGCTCGCCTCGCAATCGGAAGGTTGCAGGTTTGAGCCCCGCTCAGTCTGTCGCTGTCGTTGTGTCCTTGGGCAAGACACTTAACCCACGTTGCCTGCTGGTGGTGGTCGGAGGGACCGGTGGCGCCAGTGCTCGGCAGCCTCGCCTCTGTCAGTGCGCCCCAGGGCAGCTGTGGCTACATCGTAGCTCATCCCCACCAGTGTGTGAATGTGTGTGTGAATGGATGAATGACTGATTGTGTTGTAAAGCGCCTTGGGGGGTTCCAGGACTCTAGAAGGTGCTATATCAAATACAGGCCATTTACCATTTACCATATATATAACTGTTTTGAAATAAAAACTAACAATCAAGTCAGGTGACGTTCAGAAATATAGCTACAGATTTTGAAAGTTAATATTTGAAACTTAAATATGATGTCAATTATTTTCACAGATTCCTTGCAACAGGCGAAACATTTTCCAGCCTGGCATTCCAGTACAGGCTAGGGAAAAGCACCGTAGCCAACTCAGTGCACATGACCTGCATCGAGAAGCGGATGAAACGCAGCGAGTTTACGCTTTTCTAAGAGGAAATGTGGAGAGATGTAGCCTCTGCATTCTAGAAAGAGTGGAACTTTCCGAACTGCATCGGAGCCATTGATGGAAAACACATAACCATAGCAGCACCCCCACATAGTGGAAGTGTGTTCTTCAACTACAAAAAAACATTTTCAATCGTTTTGCTTGCACTGGTAGATGCCCGCTACCGCTTCATCTACGTCCAGGTGGGGGGACTACGGACGGGCAAGTGATGGGGCGTCTACAGTGGATCACAGCTGGGGATTGGCATGGAAAACAAAACACTCCATGTTCCAGCCGACTGTCCTCTGCCTGGAGCAGAACAACAACTGCCACTCCCATACACCATGGTTGGAGATGCAGCCTTCCCTTTGAAGACTTACTTGATGAGGCCATTCCCAGGAACACGACTTCCACCATGGCAAAAGGTCTTCAACTACAGACTATCTAGGGCCAGAATGGTGGTGGAATGTGCATTTGGCATTCTTGCTGCAAGGTGGAGAGTGCTCTACACACGGATTACGATGAAACCAGAGAATGCAGATGCCGTAATACTGGCAGCGTGCATCCTGCATAACCACCTGCTCAACCCAGCAGACAACAAGAGATTTTTGGAGGAAGCACAAGAGCAGGGGGAATACCTCCAGGATGCTAGGAACATGGGTGGCAACAGAGGCTGCAGGGATGCTTACAACATCCGTGAGAAATTTGCAGCATTTTTCCTTTCTCCTGAGGGCAGTGTGTCCTGGCAGGATAGGAGGCCGTGAGAGAAATAAACACAGCTACAGGGACATTGTGT